TATGTATATGTAAGGAGCATTAGTATTAATTATATATATGTATATGTAAGGAGCTCTGGTAGCGTAGTGGTTACGAATCGGGCTGCGAACCTTAAGGCTGCGAACCTTAAGGTCAGCGGTTCGAAACTACCAGCCGCACCGCGGGAGAAAGATGAGGCTGTCTGCTCCCGTAAAGATTTTACACCCTCGGAAACCCTGTACAGGGTCGCTATGGGTCGGAACCGACTCGATGGCACTTAACAACAACAACAACAACATATGTATATATGCAGTGTAGTGGTTATGAATCGGGCTGCAAACCGTAAAGTCAGGAGTTCGAAACTACCAGCCGCTCCACGGGAGAAAGATGAGGCTTTCTGCTCCCGTAAAGATTTACAGCCTCGGAATCCCTGTGCAGGGTCACTATGGGTCGGAACCCACTCTATGGCACTTAACAACAACCACCACATATATGTATGTATGTATGTATATGTATATATAGCTTAACCTGCCTTTGAAGACTGATTGCATTATTCGTTTAAGACAGTTAAAATAATCACTATAGAAAATATAAAAAGTTTTTTATGTTTGGGATTTTTGTTTTATTTGGCTTTATTTTAAATACGAGATTAACAATTGCCTACACATAATTTCAAGTTGCAATATTATTGAATGCTGTGACTACAATTTTTCTAACATAAAATGTATAAATATTGCAGGTGTAGTGATAGTGTGTGTGGTTCTGCGCTACATGAAATATCGCTGGACAAAAGAGGAAGAGGAGACGAGGCAGATGTACGATATGGTGGTAAAGATTATAGGTATGGTATTTTTAGAATTCTAGACAATTTCTGGAGTAGTCAAAGTGATTAAACTATAGCGTCGTGACAAGTGATGATTGATTAATTTGCTTGGTTTATTTTTAGATGTTTTACGAAGTCATAATGATGCTTGCCAGGAAAATAAAGATTTACAACCCTACATGCCTATTCCACATGTGCGAGATTCCTTAATACAGCCTCATGACAGGTGTGTTAATTGCTTTGTGAGTGAATGCAAATCCAAATGTAGTTATCTTTTGCAGTCTTAGAAGCCCTGGTGGCATAATAGCTTGTGCATTGGGATTCAAGGCTAGCAGTTTGAACCCACCAGCTGCTCCATGGGAGAAAGATGATGCTGCCATAAAGATTCTCAGCTTTGGAAACCTTAGGGAGCAATTCTCCTCTGTCCTATAGGGTCTCGAATCAAATTGACATGATGGCAGCGAGTTTGGTTTGGTGTCTACAGTCTTGAAAGTTATGTAGAAAGTGTTGTTCTGTACAAGCATTTCTGGGTGTTTGCAACCCTCCTTTCTAAATTATCCTCTAATGCCCTCTTAATTTTGAGTGATGTGGTGGTTATGTGCCGTATAGTCTGTTCCAACTCATAGTGACCCTGTACAGGATTACCGAGGCTGTAAATCTTTACGGGAGCAGAAAGCCTCTTCTTTCTGCTGTAGAACAGCTGGTAGTTAGCAGCCTGACTGTTAATCACTACACTACCAGAGCTCCTTAGAGTTTATTGCATTCTCATGTCTATACATGCTTGATCTTTTATTGTCATATTTTACTTTATTTTCTTAATTTCATTGATGAATAAACAAGCAAACATTACTGCTTGTAGTATTTTACTTATTTCAAAATATTTCATTTTGTGCTGAGAAGCTTTTAAAACAAAAGAATGAAGTGATACATTTTTTGAAAATAGAATAAAAGATGATGCCATATCTTAAAGCAGCATTCTTTACACTAACAACACTTAACAATCAGCAGTGGAACTTTTAGGGGGAAATACAGACGCTCATCTCCACCTCTGGAAATAGAAACTCAGTAAATCTCAGGTGAGGCTCAGACATGTAAATGTTAATTTGAGTATATCTCCCTAAGTAGTGATAATAATAGCCAGAGTTAACAACAGCCACTACCTTAAATTACTAATAATTTGAAAAAGAAGATAATGATGATAATCAATTTGTCATTTTGTTTGCATGACAGGAAAAAAATGAAGAAAGTCTGGGATAGAGCTGTTGACTTCCTTGCTGCTAATGAGTCTAGAGTTCGCACAGAAACACGAAGAATAGGTGGTGCAGATTTCCTGGTGTGGAGGTGGATCCAGCCTTCTGCATCCTGTGATAAAATATTAGTAATACCTTCTAAAGTATGGCAAGGTCAAGGTATGTATTTTTAGGAGAAGGGGGGGAATATATATATATATAGTAAAGCTTTTTCTGATTCTTAAATAACTATAAATGTCATGATTGGTTTATATTATTTTATTTTTTTATGTGAAATAGTATATATCAGAGATGTCTGAAAGCAAGCTCTTTTTCAAAGCCCATCCCTTCAAATCCATGGTGTGGTGCTGTGTAAGATAAGTAACAGACTGCTTGCTACAAGATCAGAGGCTCAAACCCACTAGCTGCTCCTTGGAATGACCCTATACAGAGTGGCTATAAGTCAGAACCAATTCAGTGGCACTTAGTAACAGATTCCAGTATTGGTCAAGACCAGAAGGGTTTCAACAAGAGAAAGTAAAAATATTTCTACCATTATATCCTGGCACAAAAAAACCAAAAGAGAACACACTCAGCATTTCACAAACTGAAAAATTGAAATAACTCAAATTGCCATATAAAAGTAGAATTCTGTGGGCAGTATTAACTTCTTTACGCATGTAACAGAAAATTCTTCTAATGAATTTCTTTACATGCTCTTTTCTGCCACTAATTTTTGCTTACCTTCTTCCTCTTTCTGGCATATACCCTATACTTGCATATTCCCATTGTGTGGCACTGTAAGATAAGCACTGGATTGCTAATCACAAGGTTCACAATTTAAACCCACTAGCCACTCCTTGAAAACCTCTATGAGTTAGAATAGACTTGATAACACTTAACAATAGCAAATAGCTTTTGTGGATCTTTCCATATAGTTTTTATTAATGAATATATAGTTATACCATTTTGTTGTTGTTAAGTGCCGAGTCGGTTCCAACTCATAGCCACCTTGTATAAGGTTTCTGAGAAGCGGCTGATGAGTTTGAACTGCTGACCTTTCAGGAATAGATTGCCTGCAACTACGAGGTCGTCCAAGAACAGAACACTGCTAGAGAAGTTTGAAAGGTACTAGAAGTTCACAGACCACTTTGGATCTGTGTTTGACTAAGACTATTTCTCTTAGCCATTCTTCCATTTATCAGCTGCCACTGCACTGTAACACCCAGTCATTTCTATTTTAACCTCTCCAGAATTTCTGATTCTTTGACACACACCTACACTAGTCTTCTCTATTTTGCTTTAACTTTTTTATGTGAATTATATGCAGGTTTGCAGAGCAGATCAGGTTTTCATTCAACAATTCACACACACTTTGCTTTATCTTATTGATTGCAATTCCCATAATATAAAATCATTTATTCCACGTCCTCCCTCTGTATACCATTACCATTCCTCCTCCTTTCTTAACCCTTCTGAACTTTGCTCATAGGTAAATGCTTGATTATTCTAAAGTGTGCATACCTCTCTAGTGTTCTTGTTTCCCTTATAGACTTGTCTATTGTTGGACTAAAAATTGAGTCATAGGGATGAGTTCATTTGCAGGCCTTAAGGATGACTAAGGACACTAATCTTAGGTTTCTGCCATTCTCAGTCAGATCTCTAGCCTGTTTCGTTTTATGGTTTTGAGTTTTGTTCCACATTTTTGTTCCATCCTATCCAGGAAATTTTGATGCATTCCCTTTCAGAATAGTTGGTAGCTGGAGATCATCTAGTTCCTCTAGTCTTAGGGTCATATTGCCTGGTGTTCATGTGGTCCATTGGAGTAATAATTTCCCTGAATCCTTGATTTTCTCTTCACTAGTGTTTCTTCTTTACTAAGCCCTCTTCTTGGATTTACTTTTTTTTTAAATTGTCCTCTGGTTTCATAAGTTATCTTTCATTCACTCTCTTGCCAACACCTTCTTCTCATTTGTTTTTGTTATTCCTAGGTGCAGTCGAGTCAGTACTGACTCATAGCGACTTTACGCACAATAGAACAAAACACTGCCTGCTCTGGGACTAACCTCACAGCCTTTGCTATGTCTGAGCCCATTGCTGCCGCCACTGTGCCAATCCATTTATTTGGGGGTCTTCCTCTTTTTCTCCAACCCTTCACTTTAGCAAACATGATATCCTTTTCCATTAAATGGTCCAATCTGATGATATGTCCTAAATATGAGAGAAGAAGTTTGGCAGTCCTGGCTTCCAAGGAATACTTTGGCTGTACTTCTTCCAACACAGATTGATTGGCTCCTTTGGCAGTCCATGGTACTTTAATATTCTCCTCCAACACCATAACTCAAATGGATCAATTCTTCTACAGTCTTCCTTATTCATTGTCCGACTTTGGCATGCATATGAGTTTATTGAAAATACCATGGCTTGGGTCAGGCACACCTTAGGCCTCAAACTGACATCTTTGCTCTTCAGCACTTTAAAGAGGTCTTGTGCAACAGATTTGCCTAATGCAATACATCATTTGATTTCTTGACTGCTGCTTCCATGAGTGTTTGATACTAACTTCATTGCTCTTTAACACTTAAGCGAGGTCTTGTGCATCAGATTTGCCTAATGCAATTTGTCATTTAATTTCTTGACTGCTGCTTCCATGAGTGTTCATGGTTGACTCGAGCAAAATGAAGACTTTGACAACTTCAACCTTTTCTCCAGTGATATGGATGTTGTTTATAGTTCAGTGGTGAGAATTTTTGTTTTCTTTACATACTGAAGGCTGTCATCTTTGATCTTCATCAGTAATTATTTTAAATCCTCTTTGCTTTCAGTAAGCAAGGTTGTATCATCTGCATATTTCAGGTTGCTAATGAGTCTTGCTCCAATCCTGATGCCACATTTGTCTTCATTTTATCCTGCTTCTTGGAATTTTTGCTCAGCATACAGATTGAATTAGTATTGTGAAAGAATACAACCCTGGCACACACCTTTCCTAATTTTAAACCATCCGGTGTTCCCTTGTTCTTTAACAACTGCCTACAGGTTCCTCACGAGCACAATTAAGTGTTTCGGAATACTCATACTTCATAATGTTGTCCATAGCTTGTCAAGATCCACACAATCGAAAGCCTTTGTGTAGTTAATAAAGCACAGGTAAACATCTTTCTGATACTCTGTTTTCAGCCAAGAGCCATCTGACCTCAGCAATGATATCCCTCTTTCCGTGTCAGCTTCTGAAACTGGCAATGTATGGTGTTACAGCTGTTTTTGTGTTACTTTTAGTATAACTTTACTCACATGGGATGTCAGTGATAATGTCTGGTGATTGTTGCATCCCGTTGGGCCACCTGTCTTTGGAATGGGCACAAATATGGGTCTCTTCCAGTCAATTTGCCAGGTAGTTGTCTTCAAGATCTCTTGGCATAGATGAGTGAGTGCCTCCAGCACTGCATCAGTTTCCATTTGTACTCTTAGCAATTACCAGTATCTTGTTCTTTGCCAATGCCTTTAATACACCATAGACTTCTTCCTTCAGCATCATTGACTCTTGATCATATGCTGCCTCTTCAAATTGTGGAACATTGACCGGTTCCTTTTGGTACAGTGAGAGTTTTTTCCTTCCATCTTTTTTTTTTAAAGCTTTTATTGTGCATTGAGTGACAGTTTACACTTGTCATATTGTCTTTTGTATCATTGCAATGATTACAATCTTTTCCATGTATCACCATTCAACAGTATTTGCTTCTATTCCCTGTTTTGTTTTGTTTTGTTGTTGTTATGTTTTGTTTTTGATGTACACAAAAACAATCAGGAATATACAGTCATTTAAACAACCCAAGGGCACATTCTGCAAGCCTACCTAATGACCACCAGCACACAGCCTTGCTCTTTCCACAAGTCTGGAGTCCTGAGCTGCTTTAGTTCTCAATGTCGTCATCTCTGCCTCCATCTTTGGTGTTGCTGCTTCTCTGGACAGGGTCCCACATTCCGCTGCTCATGCTCTTCTCCATTAATGGTCCTAGGGTACTATATTCCTTGAATGTAAGATTAACTACTTCCCCTTAATGTTACAAAACTTCTACGTTTACATTCGTGACAATCACAATTAGTCAGGATAACGATTATTCACTATTGAATCATGAGAATCGTATTCCATCTCCTTTCACCATACCAGTCTAGACAAAATGAAAACTATTTAATGGGATTCTACCTTCCCCTGCACTCTGAAGCTAAGCTCCCTCTTGAGAACTTGTAAGCCAGCTACTTCGTGAATTTATAGCCTCTCCCCCGCCCCCCCCCCCATTTTAGGTAGCCAATATCTAAGTTGCCCATCCCTGTCAACCCTGTGCACAGAGGGGATATGTTTGATCCTTGATGTGAGGATTCGTTCCCCCTTGGTTGGTATTTTGAGCTACTACATCCAAAATTATAGGTCAAGCTCATCAAATTGTATCAGTTTACACTTGTTTTCTTTATCAAATAGAGCATTGCTCTAGTCTAGTTCTGATCATCAAGCCATCAAAGCTAGGTCACATGGGTACTCTCTGCAAGTTTAGGTGTTCTTGTGCATCTCCCTTCACTTGATATCAACTGGATGCTTCACTCTCAGCTCTAGCCCTCTGTGGCTATGTCCTTGTCCATGGGGTCAAGTGTCCCCAGGTGTCACGACACTTTGGACCAACCAGCCCTTCCTCTTCTCTCTCTCTTCTCTGGGTCAACGGGAGTCAGTGGACTGTGGTTGAACTCAGCCCATGTCTTCATTGCTGCCTTTCTCCCTCTTCCACTCACCAGTAGACCAATGTGGTCTCCAGCAAGCTTACATGTGGTCCCTTTTAGTTTCAGTCTTAGAGGGGACTTTGACCTGAAGGAACTTGATTGCTTGCCTTAATGACTTTCCAGCAAACAGCTTGCTTATTCTCGTAGTAGCCAGTCATGTTGACATTTTTATTTTGGGTTTTTCCTGATGATCTTTGAAGCTGTATCTTCTGTTGCTCTAGCTGTTCTAAGCTGGTTTGCTTGTCCGTTCTAGTGGGACTGTCCCGCCTCTTAAGATTCTGGATGGGACTCAGGATTCCACCTAAGGTCCTATACTCTGCAAAGGCTTTGCAAGAGGCTTATTTCACTTGGGAAGTTCTAGAACCCCTTTTAGGTATT